AATCGAAAAATTATTAAGCTCGAGTACTGTTCACTGTCAATTAACAACGAAGGCAAGATTGAGTTCAACGACTATGAGCTCAAGACGGATGCAGATATAAGGACTATGTGGAATAAACAAAAGTTCCAATTAGAGCGACGATTTAAAGACCGATTAAAGATATTGTAAAAATGTTGAAGCGTTCACCTGGATATTGAAATTATGTTAACATCACGTATGTAATGCTGATTTTATGTTATGAATGATAATTTTATTTTGTCAAAATACAACTTTCTAATTTTGTGTTTTTGTTTCAGTATGCTACGAAAATGCATCTACGGACATGTTGCAGAAATGCATTTCCAAATTTAAAAAATACATGCTCCTAAGACGTAACTCAGAATTGACCTAGAATATATATGTTTGAAGTGTGTTCGGAGATGTATTTTTTAAATCTAAATATATTTTTATATTTTCATGTGATTACTAGTAATAATATATAGAGTACATTAAGAAATCCGTGGATATCTTCTTTTAAATTTCAGCAATTATTTATTCGTCGAGAATTTGGTACATTAATAATTTTAAAAAAACTTTAAGTATCGTCGGCCCATTAATGCTTATTCATTAAAAAGACTAAATATTTAAGTATGTTGTCTCTTTGATATCAACATTCGGATTGTCAATTTATTTCTTTTTATTTTTTGTTTTCATAATTTAATTGTTAGCTCTAATTAACGATAGTAGTACAAATCCTCCATCATTATTCCTCTAGTAACACTAGTAGAAATACTTATCCACTAAAAGATTCTCACAGTGACCATAAAGCCAAATCATACTCAAAATTTGTTGAAATTAGTATATAATCTCTTTCATTTAAATATATTATTTTATAGGTATGAAATGTGGTTATGAATTACTCAGTGTGGGTCAGAAGAAAAAGAAGTAACTAAACTAATAGTTTCAACGTCAACGTCTTCTTGATTATCATTGTTTCGAGCAAATTCGAATACTTTTTGAATCTTGTACACACAATGTACAAATATTGTACAAGCATTGGTAGGAACAAATATATGAAACGTGGACACACCAATCCCACAAGAGATGCCAGTGATAGTTATCAATGATAGGTCGAACCCAGTTTTCAAGTATTTTGAGATGGTCCTAGGGTTCTGAGTTGTGACAGTGACTATAATAAGACTAGATGAATTTGATCTGAAAAAAAAAAGGAAACAAGATGAAAGAACGATGAAGCAGAGTGATTGTATTGTACTTTGTGATACAGAATGAGATATTAATTCGTGTAGGGTTAGAATGAAAGTGATGTAATGATAGTCATGTGTAAAACTGAACGCGCTATTTCACCCTTTCAATTCCTAACAACTAAGCATATACCATATTTGTCTTTAAAGGGGATGAACCAATGTGCTGGCTCTCAATCATTTTTTATACTAGCTTCAATGGCTAAAACTCAACCTCACAACTTCTGTTCACTTATCTATTTCAACATAAATGTTCGATCCTTTATGTGCAATCAAGTTTTTGGTTCGGAGGTAAATTAGGTTTTCGATCATTTCTCTTTGTATATCATAAATAAATAGACTAATTTGTCAACCTCGGAGCATGCTCTTAATATTCATGAACTAGAGAAAATAAGTTATATTTTTGTTTGTTTTAAGTTGTTTAAAATAGTTTTACCTTGCATTTGTATTTGAAATTGAGAATAATGATAATTTATACTAAAACTCTCAAAACAAACTACCCGGTATTAAATGGGTCGGTCTAATGATTTTAGATTTTTTATGGCTAATAAAAAATAATTTGTAATATGAACTCAAAAATTACTATTCGAATTTAATTCTGTATGGAGTTCGGATTATCTGGTCTTAAATAGATTTTTTTAATTACTTTTTATTTAATAATAAAAATTAAAATTCAATAATATTTATTATAAATATGATTAAAAATCATTATTTTAAAAATAATATATTTTTAAGTATTACAGTATATTTTATAGATACTCTAATACATTTTTTAAATATAATACATGACTAAATTTTATATAATAATAATAATCAAATGATTAAAATAAGAGAAATAATTTACAAAATAGTAAATGAATACTAATTTGATTATATTAATTTATAATATTTAGAAGAAAAATATTAAATTGAATTGAGATAAAAATTTAATGAGTTGAGAGAAATCAATGAACTTTTAAGATGTGAGACAATATAAATAAGAGATAACTTTATTCAATTTAAACTTCGTAGATTTGCAATACAATTTATTTTATGAGTAACTCTATTCAATTTTTTTAAAATGGATAGATAAGAATTCAGCATATAAATATTAAATATACTTTTCTAAATTTATAGTTATGGAGAACAGACTGTTTGTAATATAAATATTAAATATATTTTTTTTAATTTATAGTTATGGAGAACAGACTGTTTGCAATCTATCCGAATTAATTCTAATAAATATTAGATTTTTTAGAACCGGTTAAAAAGATCCTTAAAAATATCGACTATAACTTTTAAAGTTTAATCTTATTTTTTTTAAACTTAGCGGATTGATTCATATTAAATAATTTATTTTGACGGCTCTAATTTATCCTAATACACCTCAGTCAGAGATGTTTTTTCTAAAGCTCTGAAAATTCTTGCATCTAAAATGCACAATATTTCAGCCACAGTGTGTCAGATTTGAGATTGACAAGAAGATTATTATTACTATTACATTGACAAATATTCATGTGGCCACATTAAATGTATAAAAGCTAGTTAAATACAATGTATTCTCGTTATTAAATTCTATAAAACCGTTAAGAGAAAACATAGGTAGGGAATCAAATCAAAGATAGGGTCAGAGTTTTTTTGAACAGTAAAGAACTGTGTAAGTTCCATTCTCCACTCTGCTATTTTCTTCCATCCCTTTTGCAATTCATAGCCCATAATTTCCTGCAATTTAAAGCATGGAACTTTAAAAACCTATATCCCAAATATCCATTTGCAGGACATAGCTACAAAGAGTTCTTTCAATCTACATGCAACATTTTTGTACGAACAGTACCCTATTTAGTCCTTACTATGTTTTGGCCAACATATACAAATTCAAGATATACATAATTTTAACACTAGTACTGTTCTATTAGCTAACATCAACCCAAAAGGAACTATTAAATTCAAATCTCAATGAGTGCATAGAAAAAGCTACTGGAATTGATAGGGACAACACCATTAATGCATTATACATACAAAAGTTCAGATAAATTTATTTATTTCATCCCAACAACTATACAAAAATTATATCAAAATTATTTATAGCCATCTAATGTAGTAACTCAATCTCTCTTTTTTTTATAAAATCGGAGTCTGCAACATAAATCGCAACCTATACTATCAAATGTTATGATACAACTGCATCTGCAACCGCAAAATAAATTTTGGCACTTGAAATTAAAGTAGACATCATCTTACATCATTATCATCTTATCCACTTTCTTGCACTAAACATATTGTCTTATCTAGTGCTAAAACACTTGACATTACAAATTTGTCAAAATTGGTCATTTCCTAGTGTCTCTTTCTCTCTAAAATGTGAAGAAAGTGGTTAATTATATGATAGGTCTTTGATCCATTACCCATGTTATGTTTGAATTTGAAATAAGTGGGTTTGCACTTTGCCCAAGAAACTTATCCCATCCCTCTTTCATATCTTATCTTTTTCTCCCTAAAGTTTGTGGGGTCTTCAAATTTGTGAACTTCGAAATACCACCTCTTAACATTTGCAGAGAAGGACAGAACCCTTACAATACTTCCTAGGAGTCATATATATATATATATATATATATATATATATATATATATATATATATATATATATATATATATATATATATATATATATATATATATATATATATATATATATATATATATATATATATATATATATATATATATATATATATATATATATATATATATATATATATATATATATATATATATATATATATATATATATATATATATATATATATATATATATATATATATATATATATATATATATATATATATATATATATATATATATATATATATATATATATATATATATATATATATATATATATATATATATATATATATATATATATATATATATATATATATATATATATATATATATATATATATATATATATATATATATATATATATATATATATATATATATATATATATATATATATATATATATATATATATATGAAAGATTTTGTTCATGATGTATCTAGAATCATTGCATTGCATGGCATGTTCGTACAGTTTCGTATCTTAGAACAGTGGAATACTTTAAACTACTTAGCTAACAAACAAGGTCAGAAATTATTAATAATGGGCACACTTGAATAATGTATTTTTATAAACAATTATGAAAAATTATACTATTTATCATATTGGTGCAAAGTCTCTATTGCTTGACTAATGATGAAAAATCTCCATTGATTAACTTGTTTAGACATAGTTTCTAAGAACATTCTAATGAAAAACATTTTAAAAGAATACGCGCGTACACAATGCATATCTTTTATAGATAAATAATTGAATGAGTTTTTATTTATGTTAGAGAAGTTTCTCGCAGAAAATCTCTTATTTTGAATAGAGTTAGTCAGACGATATTTGTTTTGAGATTTGACATATTTCATTGAAAAATCGATCACTATTAATCGAACCTACGATATTTTTTAATAGACTCAAATTTGGTTTAGCTTGATAAATATTAAAAGTTGATAATTGAATAGTATATATTTATTTATTCTGATACTCATCATAATTTAAAAATGAGTAAAAGCATAGGCTACCAATCATGTCAGCCATTTAATGTTTGATCCACACAACTGGATCTTCCCCATGCCACCATTATATAAACCTTATCACTTTCCATCCAAATACTCACTCACTACACTTCTCTTTTCCATCACACTCTCTTTCAACTAAACCAACACTATGAAGTCAAGATTTCTAAGAGGGTGTATCAACAAATGCAAGAAAATGGGAAGCATAGTAAAAACATGTGCCACTTGTGAAGATTTTTGTGAAAGAGGGTTATGGTTATCTCTGCATGAGAGTTGCTCTATACCAAGTGATGTTCCAAGAGGCCACATGGTTGTATACGTTGGTGAGAATCATAAAAGATATGTTATCAAAATTGCATTGCTTCATCATCCACTTTTCAGAGCCTTGTTGGATCAAGCTCAAGAAGAGTATGATTTCAGTATTGATTCAAAACTATGTATTCCTTGTGATGAACATCTTTTCCTCAGTGTTCTTCGTTGTGCTGGTTCTCCACAGAATCAAGGGGTGTGTTTGTGTCTCTGATTAATATCATGATTAAGACATCAACTAGTTTTTTTTTATGATGTTGAGATTCTTCAATTGTTAGCTAACTATCATGATATTTAATGTAGCCATAATATTGATTAATAATGTTGTAAGTAGAGTAATTCATCAATTCAAGAAGAGAGAAAGTTTCATTACTATTGTTTATATTCCATCTATAATTAAACAACTTGAAATTCACACCTTAATAAGAAAAATGTTGAAGTATGTAAACAGAATGGGTAAGTAGTAAAAAATTAGTTTGTCACTAAAAAAAAATTGTTTTTTTAATTCTTGCAAAAGAATTACTTTTTTTATTATATATTTTTTTGTTTAAGCTTTGTAGAATTAATTTATATTTAAATTATTTATATAATATGTAAAATATATAATTGTAACATCTCAAAAGTAAAGGATAAAATAAACATTTTAATATCAGCAGGTTTTATAAAACTAAAACAAAGTATCAAAGACTCAAAATAAAATATAATATATTTGCAATCACTAAATAAAAAATTGCAATAATCAAATAAATAAAAGTAATATATTTACAAATAAGATTAAAAAATCTTTTGTTTCATAATAATCTACCGATAGATGATATGCTTTAAATATATTTTTCGCTCTTATAAATAATTTTAATTTAATTTTAATTTCTTTAAAAATATGTTAATTGTATTTTTTTATTTTTTTTAATTCAAAAATGAAAAATTGTTTAACTCCAATATATATATATATATATATATATATATATATATATATATATATATATATATATATATATATATATATATATATATATATATATCTCACAGTGTCATTGTCATTGAATGTTATCTCTGGTCTCACTACTTCGTTTATGTCGCATTCAACTTCTTTGTAGTCGTGTCTACAGATTTGTGTCACAAAATCGAAGATTGTTGTATTTGAGAAAGAAGAAAAAAAACGTTTCTTTTTTGTGTGGCCTCAAACCGAGTGTATTAAAAGTTGCTTGTGGTTGAAACTGTCATTTGTGGTTCCTCAATTTTGCAATTCATGTTAGTTCACACGTTTCCCTTCAAATTTTTAACATTTTTTTAATACTACCTCCGTTTTTTCATTTTGAAAAAATATTTTATACCACAACTTGAGTTGTTTTATAATTTCAATGAATAGTTAATGTTATTTTTTCTATTATATCTTTAAATATTTATTATTCGCTCTTCTTTCAATTATGTAATTGTCTTTCCAATATCATTAATGCAGGACAATTTCCTAAAGTCCTTCACAATTTCTCTTTTTCATACCACAATTATTACATTTCTTATTACGTGTGAAAAATCAAAAATGATTTATAATAAAAAAAAATTGAGAGAGTATTAACTTAGGGTGGATCATATGTTTGACTGTATTAGATTTAGATGTTATACAATCTGTAGTATGTGTCTAATATTTTGATTGTATTTGACTCAATTTGACACAATTTGACCGTATGTGTTATGTATAGGACATGAGTTTATTTAAGGAAGTATTTTACACCAAGGATTTTGTAAAGACCCTAAGTTAAGGTATGAGGGTGGAAAAGTGTATGCATTTAGTGGTAAAGATCTTGATTTTTGGTCCTTTTTTGAGATGTGTTCAGTAAAGAGTTTAAGTTCAGGTAAGGACAAAAAAAATATTGTAACTACATTGTGTTGTGTAGTAGAGTTTTAACATCTACAACATTTAAAATTAAGACATTGTTTCAGAAACACAAATGTGGAAGACAAATTTTTAATAAAATTGTCAAGGCAGATTGGGTTGCAAAAGTCATTATTGATAAGATGAAGAATAATAACAAGATGAAGTTGAATGATCTAGTGGCAGATGTTAGGATGAGGTATGCAACTGAGATCCTTGGTTGTAGGAATTTTCAAGCTAGGCAGCTTGCTAGACAAATTATTAAGGGGGACTCTAGCAAGTAATACAATTTGTAAGGGTCATATGGTGTTGAATTTAGCAGGGTTTCACCATAAAACACTCTCAAGTTAAACATTCAATCTCCATGTCTAATATTTCAACAAGGTTTGAAAGGTGTTACATGTGTTTTGATGGGACAAAAAAAGCTTTGAGATTGGCATGTAGACAATTTATTGGATTAGATGGATATCATTTAAAACATAAATATGGCGGCATATTATTGGTTGTGTTTGGGATATATCCTAATGATAAATATTTACCTATTGCATTTGGATTAGTATAGACTGAAACTAAGTACTCTTGAAACTAGTTTATTAAGCTTCTTCTTGAAGACATTGGTGAAATTATGTGGTGTTTAATGAAACCAAGAACTCTTGGAACTGGTTTATTAAGCTTTTTTAAGCTGATAGAGAATCCAGATTATGTTTACTAGAGTAAAAAAAATATGAGTCAAAAGTTGTGAGAGATATCTTATGGGCCCATCCAAAATCAGTAAAGTTGTTGAATATGTTTCCTATTGTGTTGATTAGGGACAGCACGTACAAGACAAACAAGTATAGGTAACATCTATTTGAAGTAGTTGGTATGACATCAACTAAGTTAACATTTATTGTTGCATTTACTTATATGGAATATGAACAGACAGAAAACTTTTTGTTGGGTATTGAATAAGTTAAAATAGTTGTTACTAAGCAAAGGTTATGGCCACATGTGATTTTGAATGATAGAGATCTTGCTTTGATGAAAGCAATTGAAATAGTATTTCCAAGAAAAATTAATTTGCTTTGTCGATTTCAAATCAACAAAATGTGAAATCAAAGCTCGAGGAATATGTTGTAAACTATATGCGAGAGCCGCTAGCGAAACTATGGTATGAACTTGTACGGGCTAGTGATGAGGTGGAGTACCATCAACAGTTGCAACAGCTTGAGCATGCATGTGTCAATTTTAGATCATTTTTTTATTATGTGAAAGACACATGGTTGACTCCTCATAGGCATAGATTTGTTGGAGTATGGATCAATCAAGTGATGCATTTGGGCAACACTGCGACTAATAAGTATGTTTGATTTTAGCCATAATTTGTTTATCTTAATATTATGGATACTTATTTGTTTTTTAGGGTTAAGTCTGCGCATTGGAAACTAAAGTAGATGTTGGAGAACAGATTATGTGATATGTGCAAATGTTAGGAGATTGTGAATGGCAATCTCAAGGTACAATTTGGCAATATTAAAGCTTCATTTCAAAAACATTTTTATGAAGTTGAGCACACGCATATTATGGAGTGGTAGAAAAAAATGTCGAACGGATCACATCCATCAAGCTCGCATGATATCCAGTATACTCAATATCCACATCAAGTGTGTCAGAATCAGAAAGTGGATGCGGTATGTATTGTCTATATCCAAATTGACGCATACATCTGTAAGGTAAGTATAGTACAATTGTGTCATACAATTTCAAGTCACCCCTGTATAGACATATATCATCAAATGGATGGTGCTCTCTATGATCCTCAAAAGGGCGCTAAATTACATCATCAGATGTCAATGCATACAACACAGACCTAAGCTTATCAAGATTTTGTGTGTCTTGCTTGTAAACCCATTTCATCACCCTAGAAAGTGGACTACTGCTACCAGCAATCCTAGACAATCCTCTCTTACCAACAGTTAGAAAATACTCATGAATTCAACATTGTTACACAACATGAATATTATCAATTAAAATAATTATAAATAAATAAATAAAAGTCAAAATAAAATTAAAATAAAACATATGTACCTGTAGTAGAGAGGCATATTTGTCGAGCTGCTTCCACGTAAAGAAGGAAGCATCTCCTAAACCTTTGTAGAGTATGACAAGTGCAGTTGTTCCCCGGCTATATCTACCACATTCAGTTAAGTCACTAAATGGTGATAACTATTTTGTCTCTACAAAAAGACTTGTCGATAAAAATGGTGCAACCTATCAACAATAGCATAGAGGCTCTAGTAGCACAACCAAATCTACTATCAGCTCATTGACGCATAAATACCTCCTTCAACCAATCTATCCTATAATAAGCACCCTTATAATTGCGGACCTCTTTAGTTGTGTCCTTCAAGAAAACACCCAACATATCAATAGTAAGAGTAATAGCATTAGCATCACTGAAACCTCGAGCAAGGTTCAAGAACTCACCCCTACATGGTAAATAAAGAAGACAAGAAATATAGTCCAATGTAATTGTCATCTCGCTAAATGGCATATGATAGGACGATGTTTATGGATGCCATCTTTCTACAAATGTTGATATTAAACTTTGATCTATGCTCGACAAACTAGTTCTCTAGAGAGAGGATATACCAAAGTTAGACAACCGACTTTCTATCAGCGGTGGAAAACTGTGTGGAACCCATCCTACACAGTAAATGAAGAAGACAAAAAATATAGTCAAATGTAATGGTCATCTCGCTAAATGGCATGTGAAAGGACGATGTTTATGGATGTCATCTCTCTAAAAATGTTGATATTAAATTTTGACCTATCCTCGACAAACTGGTTCTCTGGAGAGAGGATATACCAAAGACAAACAACCAACTTTCTATCAGCGGTGGGAGACTGTGCGGAATTCATCCTATTAATTTTGCTACCATGTGCAACAATCTTTAATTCTTTCTTCGGGTGTCTTTCCTAAAAATAATTTATAGTATATGTTATAAAATATAAGTAATTAAAATTAAAAATGACTCAACATAAAATGATAGAGATTAACTTACCTCGTCATACCATCTAAATAGCGAGCAACATGATCATGTTACCTCACTAGAAGAGACGTGTCATACAAACATCCAGGGAACTGTGGTTGTTATGGACGATGCTCAAGTGCAACTGTCTGATGTTTATCTCCATCCATCGTTTTTCGACGTTGTCGTCCTTCACCTCTTCGTCGAATAATGTCTATGTTCCAGCCTCTCCTGCACGCCACTAAAAATAACAAAAAAGTCAATGAAAGTTAAATAGAACCGGATAACCATTGACCAAGTTCTCTGGTAGAAAATATTAAGAATCAGATAACATGATTTCGAGTTATCCGATTAGTACAAATGTGAACCGGAGAACCACATGCCAAGTTATCTGGTGTGTAAAAAATTTCGTATTCAAATTAGAAAACTTGTAAGATTTTCAGTGTGCTGAGAGAGTGAACTGGATATTTTTACTTTGTATTCTCCAATTGGTTGTTGAATCAGATATCTTGGATTTGTGTTCTCTGATGTGCAACTGCTCCTTTCTTTAAAATAAAATAAAAATAATAAATAATAAATTTAAGTCTAAGTATTTATACTGAGATATTTTGGTCCAAACTCATAATTTGTAGAGGTAAAGGGATAAATGATGGACTATAGAGTATAATTTTCCGACATTTTGTTAGTTTTCTTGTAGTGGGCTTATTTACTTTTCAGTGCTTATTGTCTCAATGTGTTGTGCATTATGAATAAATTGAAAGAGGTCAATGAATATTACCATAATAAAGTCAATATCTCTTATGTTGTTGCACTTCCTGTGATCTAACAATTCAATTGTTTTGTCCCACTCATTTCTTACATATGGTTATCATATAGTCTCCTTGGTTCCGATCTAGGTGTTGATTTTGTTTTTAAATTTCCACCCTTACCCTCATTCCTATATGTTGCTCAGTTTCTTTATCCTGCTGCATCCGCATTTGGTGATCAAGTGTAGTATTTTGTTTCTGCAACGGACAGTATTTTCAAGCCTTTGATTGCCTTATGTATTTGTTGTAATCTTGTCTTGTTGCTACAATTGTTGTACCAAATGATCCTTCTCTTGCATGAATAATTCTTATGATTTTATAGAAGTTACTTTGTTTTTGTGCTTAATTGGTATCTGCTGTGTTTAAGCGTAATTCTTTACTAGTAAAAAAGCTGATAGATGATTTGCAGTTTTGTGAACTTTCATTATTAACTATGTGGTTCTTTGTGAACAAAGAGAAAGCTAGAATAGCAGTCAAAAAGCCTATGATGTAGCCAAGTAGATGAAATAGTTGGTATGATGTCCGTTCCATTTTTGAAATTTGATGAAAAATTATTTAGCAATGGAATTGATTTGATTGAATATTAACTACTTTATTCTTGATTGAGTAGCTTGCATTAACAAATTGAACAACAGTTATCTCAAACCAAACAGGATTTCGCAAGTCCAGAACATAAATCTCCCATCAAAACACGGATTTAAAAATAACAATAAACAAATGTGATATAACATGTAACCAAAGGAGATGCAAGAAAAAGAAAGCTAAGATGACAAACAGCAACATTATAACCTGGTAGGATTTCAAATAAGATAGAACATGTAAAAGCTAGCCAAATAGCAACCAAAAAGGAAAAGAAAAACACTTCAAATAAGAAATTATGCCAAGATAGGACCTCAAATACATGAACTTATTTCAGTAATGTTTCCCTCTGCAACTTTTTCACCCCTTCTCTCAAGCCAGGATTTTACAAAAAATCCCAAACCAGTTAAGAGTGTAACTATTTAAAATGCAACTAAAATCATTCCCAATAATCAAAACTTCATAATAATAATAATAATAATAATAATAATAATGACGATGAAATTGGGAGAATCACTTAATGAAAATCAGGCTTCTCTGGGTAAGTGCAGCCGGACCTTTGAATGACAATATTTGCTGCATAACACCCGGCTCTCACACATTCTTCAATAGGCTTCTCCTGAACCAATTGAGCAAGGAATCCCCCAACAAATGCATCTCCTATAAAAACAAAAACAATATTATGATTAGCATGTAACATCAATGAGAAATTGACCTGAATGAATTTTTTTTCTACTTATAAGCACAAACTGCAAAAAAAAAATAATAATAAATAAATAGGGCAATACCTGCTCCATTTGTATCAACTAGTTTCTCTTTAGGCAATAAAATTACAGGGTACAATGTCACTTTCCCATCTTTAGCAACGCAGACGGGATCAGCACCCTGTGTGATAACAGTAATCCTCTTACGAGCTTCATTTGCTTTTGGCAACTGGGATATCTTTAGAGCTATCTCCTCGACATTGTCAGTCTGAACAATACGAAAAGAATCGAGATGAGTGGCAAACTAAAATGTAAAACCAAAACTGTCAGGGTACAGATCTGTGAAGTAACCATTTACCTCCCAGCCATGCACTTTAGAATATGTTCTCGCTTCAGTCTCATTTCCAAAAACATAGTCAACATACCTGAATCACATAACGGAAATCCTTAAAGATCAATAAATAAAAATGCATTCATTTGAATTTGACAGCAAAGGATTCTTACGCAAGAGCTTTATCCTGTACATCCTTGAAGAACTCACAGATAAAGGGTGCAGAAAGGTTCATCGTGAAGACCTGCACAACTGAGTAAATTAGTTGACTACTTAAGTTTCAAATACTATTAATAGTAGAAAGGGAAGGCCAAATTCTAATCATATCTAACCTTGTTATTTGCAGCTGCATGCTCGCCAACTAATTGTATGGATTCAGGGGATACGGTGAGGAAAAAGCCAGCAATATAGAAATATTTGGCCTTTTCAACTATTTATTAAAAAAAATGCACAATGCCAAATGTTAGTCATCTTGATCATTCAGATTTAATGGATATAGAAAGAGACTCTGAACAGATCGACAAGGTACCTAATGCCCAGTTTTCGGGTTTCTTCAAATGATCAACCTTGTAGCAATTTGCAGCTGCTAAGTTGGCAATAAGTGACCTATATTTAGATCCAATAAAATAAAGAAGGCTTCAAACAGCTGCTTTACAATCAACAAAATCGAATATTAAATATACTAAGCTGAAGACGTATACTATAATAAAACAGCATAAATTTCATGATTTTCAGGCGTTTATAACTTAAAATATGAAAAAACACAAGGAAAGTGTTGATCCTTTTACCTTTCGCCACCAACCACACAAACAGCACAAGTTCCTGTAGGTGTATTTTCATCTTCATAGTATTGAACCTGGTTGTTAAATGAACAAGTTAATTTAAGAAACTATATTCTACTGGCCGATACAGCAAATGGAAAAAGCAACAAAACAAGGAGAAAGTTACAATATTAAGCTTACATTTACACCAGCGAGTCTAGAGTTCTTGGTCATTTCCTCGCCATACTTGTCCTTTCCTATGCAACCAATGTAACTAGTGGCTCCAGGTACTTGAAGCAACCACTATTGTATACAAAGTGAAAATGATAAGCTATTTTAACCACAAATACTCCAGATTCAGCTCAACTCCTATAAGAAAAAGTGCACATACCTGAGCAACCTTAATTGAATTCTGAGTGGCACCTGCCAATAAAAAAATCATAACCATCATTATAAAATGTTACTTTCCCGTTCTCTTTCGTTAGCAAGCTTGTGATATAACACGAAAACGCAATAATAATCTATAAATTGAAACACAATAATTCAGATCTGGGGTCTTACCTCCAGCAATATACTCCACATTAAATTTGGCAGACATTTCGTCGTACCTGCGATGATTGTAGACTCATGAAATATTCAGACATTACTAAATGCTATCACAGGAAACATTCAGCAGAAACAACAAAAAAGTATTTCCAGAACAGAGAGATAGAAAACTGTCCAACTAAGAATTACTTCAAACCCTTAATTAGCATGTTTACCAAACTCTCCAACAATCAAAACAAATAAGTTAAACTCAAGATTATCCTAAACAACATTCTAACAAGCACAAAATAAAATCAAGTAAACATGTTTAAGAAACTCTCAAACAATCAGATAAATAGCTAAACTCAAGATTATTCTAAAATAATCAAATTAGCATGTTAATTGTTTGCAAAACTCTCGATAAACAAATAAGTTAAACTCAAGATTATCCTAAACAACATTCTAACAAGCACAAAATAAAATCAAGTAAACATGTTTAAGAAACTCTCAAACAATCAGATAAATAGCTAAACTCAAGATTATTCTAAAATAATCAAATTAGCATGTTAATTGTTTGCAAAACTCTCCATAAACAAAAAAGCTAAACTCAAGATTATCCTAAACAACATTCTAACAAGCACAAAATAAAATCAAGTAAACATGTTTAAGAAACTCTCAAACAATCAGATAAATAGCTAAACTCAAGATTATTCTAAAATAATCAAATTAGCATGTTAATTGTTTGCAAAACTCTCAATAAACAAAAATAAATAAAATAAACTCAAGATTATTATCCTAAACAATATTTTAACAACCACAAAATCAAATCAAATTAACACGTTTAAGAAACTCACAAATAACCAAATAAATAGCTAAACTCAAGATTATCCTAAAACACACTCTAGCACAACACAAAATCAAATTAGCATGTTCGCCAAACTATGAAATAACCAAAATAAACAAGCTAAACTCAAGATCATGCTAAATAACACTATAACAAGCACAAAACAAAAACGTTTATAGTTGATATGACACCGATCCGAATCGGAATCTGAATCTGAAATGAGAAAAAAAAAGCGTAAAACAGAAAATCTTACATAGATTTGTGCTTATCTTCAGCGAGAATGGCATTGTTCAACTGAATATCAAACCTGTAGATCAAAATCAAAAACATGAGATCTGATCCATTTCATCTTTCTGTAACTGAAATCAACACCACAATAAAAGTCCTAAACATTATTACTCTTGTTCGTTCGAAATTCTAAGCATAAAAAAATCAATACGAATAAACAAAGAGATAGATAGAAAGAAAGAAAAAAGTGTGAGTAGCGTACTTTTTCAAGAAATCTTCGTCGACGACAGCAGAAATGTCGAGAAGGGGATTACCCATACCGAGGAGAACACCTTCCAACGCCATTAGTGATGGATGCGAAAAAACTGAGCAGAGAAAAAGGAGAGGCGAGAGAGGTGTTGTTTGTTGAATGAATGAATGATAATAGTTTTGGAGTGAAGTAGGTTTAAATAAAAGTCACTAGTGAATGCGATTTAGATCTACCCAACTTCTTACAAATGTTTTTCTATAAATTGCTTTTTTATTTAATAGGTTTAAAACTTTTTCTTTTAATTTATATTTTATGTCATATGCTTGGTAATCATTATATTATGTTTTCATGATTTACAATATATTTTTATTACTTTAGTCTAAAATAAATATTGCTTAAAATTAATTTTTATAGATTAAATATAGGTTATATTAAAGATTTACTACCTTATTCAGATGATTTTTGCATTTCATATTAAACAGAGTAAAAAACAAAAATTATATTGTATTGGACTCTTCTGTTTACTACTGTTTAGATTTTATGATTTGCAAAATCAAACGTAGTTAATTATACTCAAATTTTTGACATTATTATTTTTTTAAAATTTTTAATTTCTCTGTCACAATTTTATCATATTATTTTTAAATTTTTCTCTCACAATTTCATCTCATAAACTTCTATTTAATAATATATTTTACCCAGATTTCTATCTTCTTACTCCAAATTACTATTGTATAAGTAAAATGGATCATGTTCCATTCAGGAACCAATAATGAATAGTAGTTGAAAAACTGGTGAACTTAAACGATACCTCTAATATCATTTACGGTGGCAATGGGTGGACTTGCATGGTAATCACTCTAATGTTCAAATTAGTTCAAGATTCAAGATTAGTGTAGTGAAAATTAGAGATCATATATTGTACCTTGCTTTTAGCGTATGAATTGATTATATACTTTGGGTCAGGTAGAGTGGATCTAAAATGAATTGGACTTTTGTCATTTGGGCTTTTGACTGATCAAAAAACGTTACCCCCAAGGCTTTGTTAGGCACTGAAGGAGTCGGGGAAGCCTTAACTGACAATGATTGACCTCCATGGCGTGGTCCAGTGTGAAATGAAATTGAAATACTTAAGATCAGTTTTGAAAAATTAATGGGGAACAAGCACATTTAATGTGATTCCATCATTGAAACGCTCTGTCACCCTTTTCAGACACGTGTAGTGACGTGCCCAAGTAGGGTATTACGCTGTTTACATAGTACTTTAGTGCACTCAAATTGGCGTGTTTCCATAAGTGGAAATCCAATCGTTGATCTTGTGATTTATTTATATAGTTTGTGTGGTTCTTTCAGCCTTCGTTGATTATAAATAGGGTGATTTGAGTATTTGGAAATGTTCGTAATCTTTAGCATCCAAACTTATATTTACTTTTCAGAAAACACCTTTGTTTCTTTTTCCCTGAGAGTATCTGTGAAAACGATTTCAGTGCTTTCCTTAGAGCTTTTGCATTTCTTACATTCCTCCGGCTTCATCAATCCCACATAACCAGGTACCTTTCTAAATCAACATTTTATCTTTATCATTTCTTGTTATATTGTCAGGATGAGCGATAATACGGTCAACCTAGTGAGTAATTATGAAGTTTGAACTTCATTTATCTCTGTAATGGGGTATACCCTGATTCTCATCACCCTCATCCTAATAGCAATCACCTAGGACCAAAAATCATACTCATATATGATGATTTTGACTCATAAAGGATATTTGGAAATTCGCTTGAGGAAGAAACTTCATCACCTAGTTCTCTAGATGCCCTTGTATCAAATGTTGGCAGGGGAATAAATCGAGTTGAGGTACCTATGCCCCATCGCGTCTTATATAAGGAGGGAGATACAAGTCAATCGGCAATTGAGAGAACACACTAAAAGCTATATTCAAATTTGTTTGAGGATCAGTAATCATTAGCCTAGTGACGTTGAAGTGAAGGCTCATTTAGATCTTTGAGCCCAGTTAGATGCGGTTGAGTATGACTTGGTGGACTAAAAAATAGTAGGTACTTTGTCGGCTCTAAGCACTGAGGTCGTTATAGTTGTGGTTGGCATTGTGTCCGGCAACCCCTTAGAGTTGTTAGATCTTCTAGTGGAGTAGAAAAAGAGGATATGCAATTATTTTAATGATTGTGTGATCCCATTGTATGAATGTTTGTTTAATAGAATAAGATTGTGGTTCCTTTTTCTGACTTGGAGGAAGTTATCCTAAAATATTTAAAAGCTTCTCCTTTCCAGCTTCATCCGGGGTTCTGGGCATATATAAGGGTATTTCAGTTGTGCGCCAAGCATAAATCTTAAAATCCTTCCATAAGATTATTATTTGATCTATTCTATCTGAGGCGTGCGTCCCATGATAATTTCCATAGTCAAGGTCTTATTTACTTTAATCAGGTAACCCCTTGGTTCGACCCTTTTACTTTGTAATATGGAGACTTCTTGGAATGTTTCTTGGTGGTAAAATCTCTCACACCTACGACCCATCTTGGTTTTTGTTATATCTTTGTCGATTATCCTCGCTCATGTCAGATTTTGTATCCAAAGTACTGGTTCAAGATCCATTTTATCTGTGATGCTCACTCTAATGTATCAAGTAAGGTTATCTTTCTTCGGATGAGGTGACAAGGAAGGAGGAAATGTGAACTTGGTTTCAGAGCCTTGGCTATAAAAAAGGGTTCGGCCCTGGTGAGGTGTCCCCTATCAAGGTGAGAAAGAGGCGGATTGATACTCATGCTATTTTGAGTGCAGTTATCCAAGAGGGGGGAGAAAAGACTTTTGGTGGGAAGGGAGTATTCACTGCTACAAAAAACACATATAACAACGGTTAAAAAAGATATATTGTCACGTAGGACCAACCGTTGTTACATAGCGTGTGGTTTCATATCCGTTACTTACAATCACGGTTGTATGACCGTTGTAGAAAACTGAAAAATGTGCTACCTATAGTCACGGTTGTTTTAAATACCCGTTGTGAAAGGTCTGTAGCATTTTTTTATTTTTGCGACATGTTTTTCCTGACTACATTTATAACTTTCATCACAATATATAATATTAAATATTTTAACACAACATCTAGAACAACAAGATTAACAAGAATAATACGAACAATAACAAGAACAAGAACAACAACAATAACAACAAGAACACCAAGACAACAAAAACAACAACAACAACAATAACAAGAACAACAAGAACAAAAATAAGATCAACAACAATAACAACAATAACAAGAACTACAAGAACAAAAAGAATAATAACAAGAACAACAACAACAATAACAAGAACAAGAATAAAAATAAGAATAACAACAAGAACAACAAGAACAATAACAACAACAACAATGATAACAATAATAAAAACAACACGAACAACAATAAAAAATAAATAAATAGAATTGTTAAACAATAACATTATACCTATAGAATCGTTAAACAGGAACAAACTGTAACACATTAATGGAAGCAATATTTTTGAGTTTTGTTTGTGGAAGAAATTATGTTTTCAAGTTTGGTTTAGTGGATGAATAATATTTCGTAAATGAAAGAAGTTTGGAGGCAGAAGATGAAGTTTGTCTAAGTACGTCTATGGCAAAAGTGAAAGGTATAAATACCTTCGGTGAAAGAAAAAGAAGGTGTCATCTATAACCACGGGTGATTTAAATACCTGTGGTGAAAGGTATGTCAGCATCTTTTAAAAATAAGTAAATAATCAAAAATGTTGGTGCTGAGATTTGAACCCATGACCATACACCATTTTTCACCACGGGTATTAAATCAATCGTGGTTATAGGTGGTTAAATAAATAAAAAATGCATGCACCTAAATATCACATATTATAACGGTTGATTAAATATTCATAGTAACGCGAATGTTATTATATGTGTTTTCCGTAGTAGTGCTTTGTGCTATTTTTTAAACGAGTGATTGTGTTTTGCATATAACATGGATAAAGTAAGTAAGTTGGAGTTGTTCCACAATCTTGCAAATGCTCAAGGAATTCAGGTCATGGTGAATACTGGAACTTCTGCCTCTTCCCCCACTCCTCGAGTGACTATTGTTCCTTTTTCGGCCCCTTCTCCTATCACGGCTATAGAGATTTTAGATTTCTCTCTCGAGGTGAATCAACTTATGGACAAGACTACCACTTTAACTATGGAAGAGTCAACATCGCCTCTAGTTTCAACATATAGGGCCCGAGATGAGGAATAACAATCCTCCTGGGATGAGGGTTCTCCAATACAGACTCATGTTGTAGAGGGCGGTGCTTCCGAGGAGGTAACTCCCTTTATGCGTGTATCAAATATTTTCTCTTCTTGGCTTGCTTGGAATCTTGAAAAGGTGGTCATTAGTGTTTCGATGTCGGATTAATCCTTCATTTAAAATTATCCCTAAGGAGGATAAGATGGAACTAGCTTTTGAGCTTGCCCACAACATGTTCAAAGTTGCTTCTATTTTCTCTCTTGTTTCTACTAGATTGTGAGATGTCTTGGCCTTGGGTAATACTTACAAGGAAAGGGATACTTGGAAAGTAAAGGTCTAGGTTATGGAGCTGAGGTGCTCCATTCTCTAGAAGTAGCTTGTTGCGCTGCAAAAAGAGGTTAAAGTTGCCAACTGTTTGCAATAGGCGATGAAAATACATGGCTATCGATCTGTTCTGAATGCTCATGTGACTAAGTTAGAAGATTCCATCAAGGATGCAGAGAAGTGGTATTAGGTTGCTTCTGATTGTGTTAGGGATAAAACTCACAAAGTGGAGGAGCACTGGAAAAACATTCTTCAAGAGATCGATGCCCATGCCAAGGTCTTAAAAACTCTCCAGAACAAAGTGGTCGATCTGAATGAGGCACTTCGTGACTCCCTTCACCAGACTTTGCAAGTTATGCTTGGGGTCTGCGAGCAAGTTCTGGAACAGGCGAGGATGTTTTGTCCTTATGCCATAATTTTAGATGAGATGTTGCACTCAACTTATTCTGCTTTAGGGTGACTCAATAAGGTGGTCCCGACTCCTCAGCTCCAGATGCTTCGACTTGATTTTCTTTTCTTTGTAT